TCAACAGTCGGGTATTTGCACCTCGAAGGAGAGGTCGCGCCTGGCGGGGAAGTAAGGATGTTTTCAAGATGAATCATGGTATTAATGAAGATGTGGTCGAACTAGATGATGACTCCAACTTTTGGTACCTTTACACGTTGGAGAAATAGGCAAGTATACAACAAGAAGACGAGGAGGGTTATGTCAGTCCGATGGAGATGATTGACGCATGGAAAGCACTATGCGTCATCCAACATTGGCCATCTCTGGATAGGAGTCATGTGAAACTATAAGCCTGATTATGACTTGGTAAACCGGGACTGCAGATGCGTGTCACCACTGACTACCACGACCGAATTCGAGTGTTAAATTGTAACACGAATGTCTTGACACTCTACATGGTCGTTAAGGTTAACGGTAGGAAGATGAAAGAGTGTTTCATGATGAGGGAGGAGTTTCAAGGTTCCTTCTTTACATCCACGAAAGCGTTTTGCAGTCCCGCACTTGTAGGTACACTCGACTGCCGCAAAACTTGGATGTTTGTAGATGACGCGCTTAGGGAGGAGATGGACGCTAGGATGGACTTCGTAGTGGATACTCAAATGCACTAGGTTTTTGAAAACTGTGATGAGATATTCTGGATCATGGGATATAGAGACCACAATCGCGACGTTGTTTTCCACAATGAGAAGTATTACCAATCAGGCACGAGAAATGTGACATTATTTAGCGGTAGGTAAAAAGACATGTACGATTGTCCATACTCTGGACAACGACATCATTGCTTTCCCTGGTAGACAAGGACATTTTTTGGAAGTTGACAAGACACGTGTAGCCTTGACTTCTATAGAGAATAATGTGAATCCGAGTATATGGAACATTAATAAACGCATGTGGATTGTGTTATTTCACGAACATCAGTAGGTTACTACCACGACCGCGAGGTGGCGGTCATGACCGTGGCGGTCGTGGGTATTGGGGTGGGGCTTGCGGATTGGGGTTCTAAAACCCCGGCCCTACTCCCTTGAAGAGAAAAAAATATATATATATATTTTTCATGGGGGTGGTTTTTGGTGTGTGAAAAAAATATTAAAAAAAAAARAAAAAAAATAAATATTGATTGATGGATTGTTTTTTTTTATTTTTTTGATTGATTGATTGATTTTTTTATTGATTAATTGATTGATTGATTGATTGATTGATGGATGGATGGATTGGTGGGAGAGGAGTCCTCCCTCCCCTCCCCCCTGCACACACATACACACACACACACACATACACACACACACACACTCACACACACACACACACACACACTTACACACACACACACACACACATATACACACATACACACACAAACTAGCGCGTTCGTTCCCCCCCCCCCACCTAATCAATCAATCAATCAATCAATCATAGTCAATCAAGCAATCAGTGAATCAATCAATCAGTATGTGTGTCTATCAAAAACGAAAAAAAGACGGAAAGAAAAAAAACGGCTTTTTTTTTTTAATTATTATTATTATTATTATTTTCCCTTTTATATTTGCCTATGTTGGTAAAAAAAAGAGAATCAAAGAAACATATGCATCATGTTTATCCCACCAACAATCAGAAAAAAATGTAAATAAAATAAGGATTTTATTTTTTATTATGTATCTTTTGATTTTACTACTTGTGTTTTCCGTTTTTTTATTTTTAAAGAATCACAAAACACATCAAAATCTAAAAAACAAAATGGGGATGTAGGGATTTTCAAACGCTACAACCCCATCTTTCTTTTCCCGCCGATTATCCTAGGAGTTAAAATGTTGGGGGGTTGCGGTCACAGTTGACTGCACGAGGTCGGCCTCCTCGGCCATGATCCCGACCTCATGTGGTCAGCGGCCCCGCGGTCATGACCGCAGGTGATACATAACATTTTCCCTCTTCGTCAATGCAAATGCAAAGGGCTAGTGCAATTTGGGATTGCTAGGTTTTTGCATTCATCGTCGCCGTACGTGGTAAATGTCCTTTTCTGTTTTGCTTTCAACATCGTGCAACAGGCTTCATACTAAGTGATATGGTTATTGCTCGGAAAAGCCATGTACGTTGTTTTGAGCCTGCTAACTCTACGAAGGCCACAGTTAATAAGTTTGCTTCGAGGGGGCGTTTTTCGAGGAGCTATTTTCCGTGGGGAAAATTATAACCTACGACTTTTGAATACTACGTGAAAAGACGTGTACACTTTACCCACCACACCAACTCAGACACACTATAATACCTTTGCTCAAGCCCTGATTGCCACTAGGTGGCTGTTTTCAGAGGGTTGTTTCCCTTGGGGGACAAAAATTAAGGAGGGTGAAAGTGGGGAAATCGATGAGGGTTTGTTTTTCTTTTGGTCGATCAATTCCCTACATATAGAGTTGCTTTGGTAGTTGCTTCATATATTGATGTTTCCAGTGTGTGCTCTCGCACGTATTTCCTTAAGCTAGTGAGTGTCATGGCTATACGTGTGCCCATAGCAGGGGAGCTTCAACTTTCTTACTTTCTCTTCTAGTTTTCCTTTGTCTCCTTCTGACAACTTTTTTCTTCTTATTTTTCCCCTCTTCATTCTACTTCGTCTTCTTCTACTTATTCTTGTGCTTTTCTTCTTCTTTTTCTCTTCATCCTCAACGATTTCGTCAAAACAGACATTTTATATTTTTTGAACGAACTTGAAACCTACTTATTTGGTCCAAAAAATCACCTTTTACCTCCTTACGGTCCATTTGGACTTAACTGAAGTTTAGGTACATACGAAGGGGACCCTACACAACTAAAACGGTGACATTTTTAGGGTCAAATAAGTGGGTTTAATTTCATTCAAAAATATAAAATGTTCGTTTTAACAAAATCACTAGTGTATTTAATCCCGTGCTATCGAAAGAGAGCATTCTCATGCACACCATGGTGATGAAGCAACCGACAATCATTGTTTGCAAAATTGTGATGAGGCGGTAGACGCCATCTTATGAGTTTTCCTTGATGTTTGGTCAGAGGAATGACCACCAAGGTTGTTTGTCGAAGACAATTACGAAATTGTACAGTGATTGTGAACCAGATATCCCGCATTCCAAGAATGGAAGGATAGCACAATTTCAAGTTCGGACCTGCACTTGTGAGCAATACTGTTCGTCACTATGACTCAAACGCTCGAGGGGAGTTGGTGGTAAACATGGTTGTTAGCTTGGGATATGAGGATGATGAGCTTCGTGAACCTGTTGATACCGTGACAATGATGCATCCACATATTACAAGAGAGCGTGAAGGTTTGAGGCAAGGCATTATGGTGGTAGTGTCGGCTTTGTGTTGCCTAGTACCATGACAATAAGGATGAGGGTCGTCCAGATGATAATACGAGTGGGATGTTGTTTTGGATCTCCCTCGTGCAACGACCTTATCTGCATGGCATCCTTAGCTTTTATGTGTAGTTTAGCGTTGAGGTTTCCTTTATACGTTTGAGGGTTTATTGGGATCATTGCTCTGTTCAACTTGGTATAACTGGTGTAGCACACCGAACACGTTCGGAACTTTTCTGAACGACCGAACATGTTCGAGTGTTCAACCGAACATTTTTTTATTTCAAAAGAAAATCTTAATTTTGTTTTGGAGACTTTTGATTTTTAACTCGAGTTTGGTTACAAATTTGAGTATACCTCCTTAGCAAAGGTTGTTTGTATTATTATTTTACATAACGTAAATCATTTTCAGATTTTTCTGTGAATTTTTGTTTTATTACTTTTATTTTTATGTTCACGTTCAGAGGGTTTTGACGCTCGTTCGCGTTCGGTAGCGAACGTTCGGGTTCGGTCACCGAATGCAAACATGATGCTACAAAGGGTATACCAAGCTATCATATTGTGTGTTGTGTGCGAGTTCTGTGTCTTTTGTTGTGCTAATAGTTAAGACATTTAGATGGTGTGCTTTTGAGAACGTGCTTTGTTCCCTTTGCAATTTGTTGTCTTTGTGTATCCCATGGCAGAAGACCCGCCTAGAGGGTGCTTCAGTCGTGCTTAGGTCAAATTGTCCATCGATATTGCCCGTTCCGCTTGAACTGTGATGAAAGACATCTGCTTTCGAAAATGGTAGTCTCATGCGTTGATTACCGATTGTTTTGAAAATCTGTTTCTCATTTTCTTGAACATGGGGAGGATGTAATGCTCTACAATTTTGCCCTCTTTCGAGCAGACGATCCCGATCTGAGTAGAGATCAGAGACCGCAAACGGGTAACCGTTGACCGTACCCGACCATACCCAACTGTAACCGCCAGGTTACGGGGCGGGTACGGGTACTCCTTCCAAAGGGGTAGTGGGGTATGGGCAGGCACAAACCAAAGGTGGTGGTATAAAGGGTGGGCACAATTGCCCTTTTTGGAGACCATGGGTGGGTAGGGTCAGGCAGGGGTGGGGGTGAAAAAAAAAAACAGGGTATGGGCGATCATGAAAAAAAAAATAAACGGGTACGGCCAGGTAGAGTTGGCCAAAACCAAAGATGGGTGGGTACGGGCGGGTATAGTTTCCCATCGGGTAACCGTGCTATACCCACGCATTCCTTCAGTTTTTTTTTTTCCCCCGCTAAGTTCGAAACGTTTTATTTTTTTCTTGGTTTGGCGCCGCCTCTCGGGTCGGCCTGGTTCTACTCCTGACTTCGAGTCAGGCCTTTCAAGTCGGCCTGGATGTAACTTCCCGAATTCCAGCGGCAGATTCATTGCCTCCCGGCCGTTTGAGTTGCTTCCCCTCACGGTCCCACATTCCCTGCCCGTCATTGATGTCCCCTGACTCCCGAGCCCCTACCCGTTGGCGTCCTTGCCGCCCTTGTTCGCCATCATCCGAGTCCGTACCCGTCGTCGTCCTTGGCGCCCTTTGTTCGCCATCGTCCAAGCCCGTACCCGTCGACGTCCTTGCCGCCCATTGTGGCCTTGCAGGAATGATCACCAGCTGTGACCTTGCAGGAACGATCAGCGGGAGTCATCAGCGTCGTTGCTCTGGCAGCTGTGACCTTGCAGGAGGGAGTTATCCAGAGCGGATTCAGGAGTGAGGCGGAGACAACACAGGAAGAGGCAGGCACATAAGGTGGGCGACTCTCTCTCTCTCTCTCGTCCGTAGCAAGTGTCCCGTTCCCCCGTTCGTCTATGCCCCGTCTCTCTCTCTCTCTCTCTCTCTCTCTCTCTCTCTCTCTCTCTCTCTCTCTCTCTCTCTCTCTCTCTTCCGTCCGTAGCAAGTGAGTTGAAGTGACCCGTTCCCCCGTTCGTCTATGCCCC